CAGCTCCGCGGCAGCGGCGACGCGCGGACTCCCCGAGAGCAACGCAGCATGCAGCTAGGAATCTCCGAGGGCGCCCCGACGCGCGAAAAATGCGCCGCGCGCATCGCGCGCGGAACCGGCGCGACGGGATGCGCTCGACCATTCGCCCCTGGAGCCCGCGCGGAAAAACGAGAAAACATGGAAATCTTGTAAACTATCCATAGCAATACCTCATGCTCCTCTGGCTAGCAGCAGCGGCTGGGCGCGGCATATTTGCGCAAGTGTCGCGGGTGTCGTGGCCCTGCAGGAAGCCCCGCTGAAGGCCCCGACCCCGCTGGCACCTCTCGCGCGGCGGGCCCGGCTCATGTCGGCGCGCCCCTGTCGCGCGCCCCCTGACCCCGCCGAAAGTCCGCCGGAAACTGTCATCATAACTGCAAGTGGGCGGGCCCTTCGCCGAAAATTTGTCGGGCGCGCGCGGGCGACGCCAGGCCCCGCGCCGCGCCAATTCATGGCGCGCCCCCGCGGCGAGAAGACCCCAAAACCGAACCGCGGAAGCCGATCCCGCGCGCTGCTGCAGGACGCGTGACCGCCCTGGGCTGCCACGACAATCGGCTTCCCCGGCAAAGTGCTCGCTGCGCGCCGTGTTCACCGCTTGCGCTTGAGCGCGTAAACCTCAAAACATAATGCGATTAAGCTTTCATTTGTCGAATTCATGTCGTTGTTCACCGATTTCCGCAACCTATGTTACGGCAACTTTGAAATTATCCAAAACGGACCAGCACCTCTCCATATTACCTCCGCCATAATTCTTGGGGCCCCCACCCGACAATTCCGCGCCCAGAGCCGAGGGCAATTCCGCGCCCGTTTGTTTGATCCGGAAGGGTCCAAAATTTGTTTGCGTTCAAGCGGGACCCGGTAACACGTTAACAGTATAACAAGTTCGCGCGCGCGAAGCGGCCCCTGGGGGCCCCGACGCGACAAGCACCCCGCCAAAATCGCGGCAAGTCCCTGGCAAAGCCCCGGCAAGTGCCTGTCAGAGATGCCGGAGGCCCCCCAGACGGCCCAAGAGGCGCCCAAGACGGTCTCAAGAGAGCGCCCGGACGGTCCAAGAGCCCTTGGAGTCCTCGAAGATCGGCCGGCGATGCCCAAGATGGCCCCACGACTGCCCACGAGGCCGCCAAGACGCTTCAAGAGGCCTTAAGAGAGCCTCAAGAGGCTCTTCACGAGGGCCCCAACAAGCAAAAATCGGCCCACTCCCTTAGTTAAACATGCATGTTTCGCATGTGCGACGTTTCTCGTCTTCTCGGCTTTCCAACGCTCCCAGACGGCCAAAGAGGCCCCCAAGACCGCCCCAAGACGGCCCAGGAAGTCTCCAAGACGGCCCCAAGACGGTCCAAGATAACCCCAAGACAGCCCAAGAGGCGCCTCAGATGGCCCAAAACGGCCCCAAGAGAGGCCCCAAACGGGGACCAGGAACCGAAAAGCCCAGCCTTCAGCCCAAAGATGGGGCCCCAAGAGGCCCCAACAAGGCCCCCAAGAGGACTCAAAACTGCCTACCGGAAGCCCCCAAGAGGCCCCAACACTCCCCCCAAGCGGCAAGGCAATATGGGCCGGCGGAGTGAGCGAAACGATTAAACCAGAAGTCATATGTATGTATGTACATATATACATGTACATATATATATATATATATATATATATATATATATGTATATATACATATATATATATATATATATGAGCATCATAAAAGTTGTCCGAGTGGTTTTCAAAAATAATGTTGTTTTTTTGAAGTGTGGGGACCCAAAACCCCCAACAAACCTCCGACAGACAAATATAATTGTTTTTTGGTTATGGATGCTCTGCTCATCTTCATACAGAATCCTGTTTTAATTTGCGGGGCCCCAGATACCCCGAACGACCTCCGAAAACCTCCGAGTGGCTCAGGAATAGTATTGTTTTTATGTGCGGGGCGCCACAATCCATGAAACAACTGCGAACAACTACCGAATTGGGGGTGGCCCCCCGACCGGAAAACCCCCGACCCGAGCGGTCGTTTCAAAGGGTTCCCCTCTTCGTTTCAACCATAATTTCCCAATCGGAGCTTGCCTCTGTGGGGGTCCTGGCGGACTCATGTGGTTAGGCGAGGTGGGGCGCCGACTTCGGCGGCGCGCCCGGGTGCCAGGGCGCCTCACCTGAAAAACGGCCGCAGAAGCGGCGATCTGATTTTTCTGTCGACTTGGCCCGACCTGGACAACGCGATATCGCAGTTCGTCGTTCGCCACATCGCTGAAACTCCAACACTGAACTTCGCGCGTGGGTCCGCAATACACACCCTACCAGACCTCGCCATGATGCACCGCGATACGCTGCCTCATCCGCCCAGAAATGGTCGACGCCATCAGCGTCTGATTTTGCGTCCGATTTTGCATCCGATTTTGCGTACGATTTGCGTACGATTTTGCGTACGATTTGCGTACGATTTGCGTCCGATTTTTGTTCGATTTAAAATCCGATTTGCGTCTGATTCATTTCAGTATTGAATCGACACACACAATCGGACGCGAAATCGGTAGCAGAATCTGTCGTTTCTGGGCGCACTTCCGGGCGCGCTTTCGGGCGCTCTTCCAGATTCGCGTCTGGGCCATTTTCTGGGCACTCTTCATGGCGCTTTCCTGGGCGCTGTTCTCGGCACTCTTCTGGGCTCGCCCGGGCGCTCGCCCCAGCGCGCTCCCAGGCGCTCTTTTGGGCGTTGTTCCGGTCGCCCCCAACGCACCTTCTGGACGCCAGGCGCGCGCCCAATTTGCTATGTGAAAACCGAAAAACCAAAAAAATCAGAAGCAAATCTGCTCTGCCACCGCGGCGAGGTTAGGGTACCCGGTGCCCGGGTACCCGGGTGCCTGGGTGAAGAGCTAGCGCGCCGCGAAGCTGGACTCCCACAGCCGCCTGCCATGTGCAACTCGCAGGCAGCGCCGCACCGAAGGCCCGCTCCCTCGCTCGGCGGCGAGCCGTGTTAAGAAGTGGGACGGGGCGGGCCTTTTCACAAAGCGGCGGGAATTCTCAGGAACTTTCGGGCCTTCTGGGAGGCCGCCTCCGTCTTCGGAGAGGGTTTAGGACTTGCATCTGAATCCAGAAGCCTTCCGAGCCTTTTGAGCAGGCCCGCCCCCTTCCGACTTCGCCGCCGACTCACGGTGATAAGACAGGATAAGACAATATATATATATATATATATATACACAACATATAAAATAAGATGAAAAGAGAACCGAGCAAACCACGAAAAACACGGCGAGGTAAAAACAAACAAATTACATGGATTCCTCTTCCTCCCCGGCCTGACCCGCCACCACGTGGGGCGCACCTCGACCTCCTGTACCCAGTGCCGGAGGCTGTCGGCGGTTAGGCAACGCTTGAGGAAGAGAGGGCCCGCGGGCCACCTGGCCTCCCGCCCCATGATGACCGCACCGAGCGCGACGGGGGGGGTCACCACGGTGGGGAGCAGTGCTCGGCGACCTCGTGCAGCGGGCGCGCCCCGTCGCCGCGGCGCCGAGGAGGTGGCTCCAGAAGGCCACCAGCCAGCGGCCTCGAGTGGCTTCCAGGTGCCACCCACGAGGGCCTCCAGGTGGCTTCCAGGTGGCTTCCAGGTGGCACCCACGAGGGCCTCCACGGACAGGGCAGGGAGTGCGATCGAGTGGCCCTGGGAGACGCAGGCACATGCACGGGCCAGAGCACCATTCCGAAACCAGCGTGTCGCCAGAATGCAGGCGGCATGCCCGCTTCGCGCGGGCCGGACGCGGTCTCCAAAGTCCGAGTGACGTTGTGTGGGTAGTCCACGTTATGGAAGGGGGCAATACAGGGAGAGGTCGGACAGAAGCTCCTCCGCGATGGAACGACGTGGGAGAGGGAGGGAGGTGATGGGGAATGTGAAGGGAGGGGCGGGGGGAAGAAGTATGGAGAAGAGGGAAGACATGTGGGCAGAATCAAGCGATCAGGAAAGGACAGGGAAAAGATAAAACTAATGCGAAAGGGAAGCGGGAAAGAGGTAACAGACAGGGAAAAACAATGGAAAACAGGGAATGATATTCTGAGGCGGGAAAGGGGCCAGGGCGAGAACGCGACAGGGAACGAAAGAGGACGGGAAGAGGACACGTGAGGCACAGTCCTTGTCTCGACGGCAGAAAGGTCACGAATATGAATCGTCATTGCAGTTCATCGCACAATCAAACATCCCTCCTTCTCCAATGGCCCTCCTCCGACTCCCTCCTCGTTATTAATCTCGTGACGCCTCCATCTTCCCGCTTGCCTTCTCGCTCATTCCTTCTCCTCCTCCTCCCCTTTTCCTCCTCCTCCTCCTCCTCCCTTTCCTCCTCCTCCTCCTCCTCCTCCTCCTCCTCCTCCTCTCTCGTCCCCGTCCCCTCGCCCCTATTCAAGTCCGGGGACCAAGTGGTAACCCCAGAACCTGTTTTGGTTCGCGCGCCGACCAGAATCTCGAGGCGGATCCGGCCGTGGCGACAAGGAGCCCCCCCGAGGCGCACGAGGGGGGAAAGTTCTACCACAAACGAGCCGAACCCCCCGAATCCGCGGGACGTCCCGCTCGGGCATTGGCAGAACTGGGTTTAGTGGGACCTGGTGTAGTGTTTAGTGATGTGTACTGGGGGAGGCCCCCCCCCGCCCCGTTCCACTGACCGGAACTGCCCTCACCCGGAAAACACCAGCTACGGCAGACCTGGCTTTGTGACTCTGGCCAACTCCAGGGCCCCAGGGCCCTACCACGAACCCGGTCCCCTTACCTGGGGTCCTGGCTATACCCGACCCGCTCCCGGCCCCAGCACTCTAGGGGGGACATAGGCCGTTCTCTTCGGGTTTCGAGGGGTATGTCCCCAACTGGGGTGGTAATTTGGTGGGGGTCTCGAAGGGGGTGGAGATGGGGATGAGGATCGGTTCAGCGAGGCGGCAGAGCACCCCTGGGAGCTCGCGCGGGAGGAGGGGGAAGGGTGCGGTGGCGGGGCGGGCGCCCTCGCCTCGCGCCGCGGCAGCGGCCTCGGCCTCGGGCGGGGGAGCTAGAAGAGGAGAGCATGCGCCACAGACGTGATTGAAGGGAAACTGGGACACACAAATAAATACACACAAATAAAACGATTCCCCATATTTTCCTATATTTTCTAGGTTTTTGTCTTCCCCACCACTTCCCATATTTTCCCATGTTTTCCTGGGGATCGACGATTAATTGTGTCTGTGTGTTTTTTCCCCTCCTGAGTGATCCGCAGTCGAACCTAAAACGGAAGAGAACGCGTCGAAACCACCAGCGCCCCTTTCACGGGGACTCCACTAGTTAACGGGCACTTTTTGGCCGGTGACCCGGCGAACCTAATTAGCACTCCCCGAGGTGGGCAACGCTGCAATGCCAGGAAGAGGCCCTGCAGTGGCAACTTCCGGCAAATCTCCAAAAAGTCCCCGTAAGTGAGAACCCGTTACGTACGGTGCCGCTGATCGCTTGGGCGTGGCTTCATGGGGGGGTCACAAATAGGGGGGTCAGAAACGGTCCCCTTTCGTGCCCCTTTCGGGTCCCTCCGGAGCCCCAGGGGGCTCGTTTAGGCACCGTTTGGGTACCTTTTCGGACCACCCTCGCCACCCCCCCATTTATGACCCCCCTATTACGCAACGCCCAAATCGCAAACGAGAGACCCTCCGCCGGCCAAAGCACACAGAACATCCGATGGGGGCCCTCCCCGGGGGTGCACGAGAGCATCCAGCGGGCACGCAACGCACGAGGGCACCCCCTCTCCCCAGGCCGACCTCGATCTCGGCCCTGCGGTCCGACCGCAGGGCACCGACTGCAGCATGCTTGGGCCCCAGACAGCTCGCCATCGCTCGGACGCCCCTTCCCTCCTCCTCCTCCTCCTCCTCCTCCTCCTCCGACACCCCCTCCTCCTCCCCCTCCTCCTCCTCCTCCTCCTCCTCCTCCTCCTCTTCCTCCTCCTCCTCCTCCTCCTCCCTACCCCCTCCTCGTCCTCCTCCTCCTCCTCCTGGAGGATGAGTTGGCGTCTTTCAGCGGTGAGCGCGGGGGGAAGTGAAAAGGAGAGGACCTTCTCAGACAGGCGGCGGGAAGGTGACCCACAATGCTCCTCGATGGCCCTCGCCGAGAAAGAATGCACACGTCCGAGCGATGCCAAGGAGGGACAATGACTTGGCCGCCGAATCTGCGAGGGAACATGCGTACAGAGTGCTGCTTGCGTAAATCCACGGAGCCTTCTACGCCGTTGCTCGCATTCGACGGGGGATCATCCAGGGGGTAAATCCATGAGGTAGTCGATCCCCTGCTCGACTCCTTGGGGGCTCTCGCCTGCACTATCGTGCCGGCCACCTGAGCCGCATCCATGTCGAGGCCATGCCGGACGCGTCGACCCCGCGTCGAATCCGCGTCGGGTCCGCGTCAAGTTCGCGCCGATTCCGCGGCGAGCCCGCGCCCATGCCATTCACCTACGAGGCAGGAAGCATGAAAGGCGTCCTGACTATGCAGAGGTCAGCGTCGGATCGGGGCATTGGATTGGATCGGAACGTGTATCGAATCGGAACGCACCGGCACGTCGTCGGAACCGAAGCGGATCGGCCGCGCCAGGACGCGCAATCAGCGCCGTGCAAGTATCGGGTCGCTGAAACATCAGCATAGAATCGGGTCGGGTCGGGAGGTGGATGCGGGGGAGGGGGAGAGGGATACAGTCGGGGGCCTGAAGAAGTAACCCTTTTCGTTTGGGAGGGGCTCCGTGTTCCTTAGAGGTGTTACTGATTGCCTATAGGTTCACCTTTGGTTTTCGATCGGATTTCGAAGTTAAACTTAAGGAAAAAAGGGGCCTCGTTCCTTATTTATCGTTCCTTAGGTCTACGCCCCGGCTGTAGGGGGGACGGCGAGAGTGGACACCGTGAGGCGCGACATGTTCTGCACTCGTGGCGGAGGAGGGTGGCGGGGCCGGAGGAAAAAGAGGGGCGAGAGGTGGAGGAGGCGGAAGAGCAGGATGTCGAAGGACAGGGGGGCGAAGAGGTAGGGGGTAGGGCCTCAATGCATGCGGTGAGGGCTTGATGTTTGTGCCATATGCATAAAGCAACTGGAGTCCAGAGAGAGAGAGAGAGAGAGACAGAGACAGAGAGATAGAGAGAGAGGGAAAAAAAAGAGACAGAAAGACAAACAAAAGACAGAAAGAGTGGGAGCGAGAGCGAGCGGAGAAAACATGCACGCGGACCTGTCCCGTAACGTCCCATCACAGCCGCTCTGGGCGGTGAAGACAAAACTGCAGCAGCGAGCCAGGGCCCTGCCAGCGCCGACAGCGCGAGGGCCCTTGTGGGCCGAGCATCAATATACTGCTGCCTGGCAACCGCAGCTCACCTGAGGCTGGCCGACAATCGACCATGAGGGCCTTGGAAACAGGAACCCCTAGATAAGGAATCCAGGGTCTGGGAGTTAGTGGAACTCCAATGGAGGCTTGGCCATGGATATCACCGCCGCCCTCATCTAGGGATCCCCCAGGGTCTGGAGCCTCCTGGGCACATTCCTCAACAAACGCCACTTCCGTAGCAGGTGGAAAGGAGGGGAACAGAGGAAAAAAGAGGACGGTGAGCAAGGAAACAAGGATTGTCAAACTTGGACCGTATCGCTTTGTGTAGTGGCTTCCAGATCGCCAAAGACCATCCAAGCAGCCCTCTGGGCTGAGGTGGTCTCAGGCGCTTCCTTTTTCCAACCTCATTTAGGGAAACGCACTCTATACACCGACGTTTTTCCCGACCCCGCGCTGAAATTCGCACAAGAACGCGAATCGTGGTGTATACGGGATCCTGGTGTATACATTTGTCGTTGCTTCCCTTGGAAAACGGGGGAATAATATACACCACACCACCCCGACGTCGTCCCCGACCCTCAAAAAGTCGTTGCATTGAACAAACAACCCGCCATTGGTAATGTACATGTTCCAGTTTCCGATCAGTGACCCCCATGGTGAAGGGGGGGCCACCTTATGAATGATATACACAGCCTCCAGGGGCACACCCAGAATCATGACGACTCCCCCAGCCATCCCTGCCAAGTAACACTGCAAAGGGCACTGTGCGGCAAAATCTGGATCGCGTGCGGGCACCAAGCGATCGCGCTACATTTGTTTCGGCAAGGACGAAGGTGGTGCTGGCGTTTTTATTGCCTGCTGCGCTCATGCCCGGCATGCGGCATCCCTTTGCGGTGAAATCTTACTCATCACACCTCCGCAAGAGGGCTCCCAGTGGCCACGGAGCATCCCAGGGAGGCCCCCGAGAGGCCAACATCCTTCCCAAATCTTTAGGAGTGAGTTCTGCCTTCCCGCCATTCCGCTTCCAGTGGGCGTCTTAGGCCTCAAGCTGGCTCCAAGATGGTCCAAGAGAGGCCCATGAAGCAAAATTATCGAAGATCGAATCGGAAAATCGAATTGGCAATCGACATGCGTCGAATCGGCAGAAATCGGCAGGCAGATCGGATGGCATCGAGACGCCCGACGGCCCAAACCGAGGCCTGCGCGAGAAAAAACAAACCGATGCCAGAATCCAGAGATCGAATCGGTTCGGATCGACAGAGTCGTTCCTGATGAGGGCCCCGAGGCGACCCGAAGAGCGCCTCAATATTGCCCCTGATAGGCCGACTTCTCGAGCCCAAGAGGCGCGGCCCTGATCGGCGTTGCCCCACGTTTCTTGCTCGATGGCCTCCAAGATTGTCTCGAAAGGGCATGAAAGCGGCCGATCCAAAACTTGAGATTGACGGCGTCCGCTCCGACCCCTCTTTTGTTCCACCTCATTCTCCTACATCTGCCTGGTCAATGCAAATCGGCTGGAAATGGCTGCTGTATGGGCAAGTGGGGATGCTTTTTGTTCGCGAGCGCAAGCGGGAGAGCCACGCACCGTTAATAAGATCCAGCAAAGAAGGCAAGTGGGGATACGCGAAACGTCAAACAAATGGAACCAGATCCTTGCTCAACTGTCACTTTCGTCTTTCATGAATGAGTGTTAGTTCTCTGTTGGAGCCTGGATTCGTACGCTTTGCAACCCATATGCCACATCTCATGCCTATGTTCGGGAGGGTGGGCGGCGGAACCAACGTCTCACTCAATAGATCTCACTATCGATCTCACTATCGGTTCGATCGATCCCACTATCGAAATTACTATCGATCTCACAATCGATCCATCTCATTATCGATCACACTGTCGACCTCACTATCGATCTGACAATCCATCTCAAAATCGATCTCACTATCGATCTCAGTATCAATCTCACTATCGATCTCATTATCGATCTCACTATCGATCTCACGGAACACCACGCGACACTACGGGGCACCACGGGACACTGCGCCAAAGAACATCACGCAGAGCCGCGAGACATCACGGGACACCACGGGACACCACGGCGGAACATCCCCGGCCACCTCCGGACAATCTGGGGGGAAGGGCGGTCGGTTGGCCCGTCCTGGTCGATCTTCTTATCGATCGGTCTCACCATCGATCTCATTACCGACTTCTCGATCGATCTCACCATCGATCTCACAAGCGATCTCACTAGAGATCGCATGAGCGATCTCGCGATCGATCTCAGTATCGATCTCATTGAATCGATTTCACTCTCGGTCTCACGATCGACCTTACTTTCGTCCTCACTATCGCTTCCACTATCGATCTCATTATCGATCTCACAATCGATCTCAAGATCCATCGTATCAATCTTCAAATCATCCACTGATTTGCGTCTTCTCAGGTGTAATTGTTTCTGCGCAGTGTCAACAACGCAGTGCCAACAGCGCAGTGCTTTCCACGCAATGTATCATACGCAGTGCTCTCTACGCACTCTCAACAATGCAATGCCATCAACGCAGAGCCGACAGCGCAGAGCACGGTGACAACTACGTTGTGTCAACAACGAAATCAAACGTACGCAATGCGTTATACGCGGAATAGTCTTCGCAGTGAATTGTACCCAGTACTGTGTACGCAGTATGATACGCAGTGTCAACCACGCAGAGACTGTGTGAACGCTGTGGTGTGTTTACGCCATGCTTTTTTACGGAATGTCGAGCCGCTGCGTTGTTGGCACTGCGGTGTGGACGCAGCTCATTGTGAACCATATCATCGTTGGCAAACGTAAAGAAGGAAGAGGACGAGGAGGATGGAGAGATAAGACAAGCGAGAAGACGGGACACCTATGTCTAAAAAGGAGGGCACAAGCACCCAACACTGGACCAGATCGGCCCCAAACTGAACCTGATCCTGACGGTCCTGGTGCTCTGATTGAACCGATGTGCATTCGCAAACTCATCTAGAAATGTGCAATGGTTAAGTCTGGGATAGCTGAATTCTCGCGGAACTGACTGACAATGTCGAGTTACCGGATCTCGCCGAAAAACGACCGTTGAGCAATTTGGACTGTGCAAGCCTGGGTGCAAGGATTGAACGGCCGAAACCAAGAAGATATCCAGACGGTCCAGGAGGCTGCAGACAGCAGACTCGCGGGAGCGCGCTCCTCCGCCCTGCCAGTCCCTCCCCGCTCAGTCCCTCCCCCCTCCTCCTCTCCATGCCCCTACACAGCCGTGAGCCCCTCCGCATCGCCCTCTCCCCTCCGCCCAGATCCCTCGGCTGCACGCAGGAGCGACCTTGGGCAAGAATGGCCTCTGGTGCGCGGCTTCCAGGGGGCCGCGGGGGCGTCGAACCCGAAAGGGCGCCGGCCGCGGCTGTGGGAGCGCACTCGGCGATCGGGAGGCCGCAGTGAGCCCGCACCAGAGGACACCCCCGCGAAGGGCCTCCCTTACAGTCGGACCTTGTACCCTGCCCGAGCCGACCTCGATCTTATACCTCGGTCTGACTGTACTTCTCACGCGTGGCCGACTCCTCTCGGGGAGACGTAAGACTCGGGTACGGGGGACTCGGGTTGGCCCGACAGGGCCATCTTAAAAATGACGAGGCCCAATCTGAAATTTGACGCGAGCTCCCGCTGCAGACATCCCACGAAAACCGGACCGTCAAAATCCAGGACGCGCTCGTCAAAAAAACGTCGGCAAACCCGAGTTCCGGCTTACTCGGGTCTTGCGTTCCCCCGATCCTCCCCGCGAGGCCTCGACGATCAGCCTCCCACACAGCTCGCCCGGCAGCAGCGGGAACACGCGCGGCGCGCCAGCCTCCTCACGCCAAGCGGCCCCGCCGCGCGCCTGTCGGGGAAGCCTCGCAACCCTCTTCTTCCGTTCACCCTTTCGCTGCACAGCGCTGTCACAGCGCACGTTTCCCCCTCCTCCTCCTCCTCCTCCTCCTCCTCCTCCTCCTCCTCCTCCTCCTCCTCCTCCTCCTCCTCCTCCTCCTCCTCCTCCTCCTCCCGGGCACCTCGCCTCTGCCCAGCCGCCGGCGCCCACCGCGCAGCGCGCAGGGCTAGCGGGCGCCGCAGGTGCCACCGAGACGTCGAGGTTGGGGGAGGCGAGGAGAGGACGGCAATGGGGACCGGGGGAGGCTCGAGAAGAGGAGGCCAAGAGGAGGACACATTCGGGTGTCGACACATCGAGAATCTCTGAGACACAGCGGCTTTGGAGGATGTGTCGGGCGCCGCGGCCTTCTCAGAGCGAGCGTTCTGGAACGCTCTGGAAAGGATTCATCTTCGTCCTAGCCCCGTCCGTTTCCAAGAGGGAGGGAGGGTGAGGTCGATCGGGAGACAAACGGAAGGGCCAGGCTGGGCTGGCTCGGGAAAAAAGCAAGAGGGGAGCGGAGAGCCTGGGAGGGGAGGGGGCGGGGGGGGGCGAACCGGCAGGGGCGCTGTACTGGGCCGGGGAGATGCGTGCGAACTGCGCCACTGGGACCTTCGGTGGAGCTCCTTCTGGGACCACGAAACGCTGTACTGGGCGGGGGAGGCGCATGCGAACTGCGCCGGGAACTTTCGGTGGAGCTCCCTCTGGGGCCACGAAATGCTGTACTAGGCGGGAGAGACGTATGCGAACTGCGGAGGGGGGAGGAGGAGGAGGAGAGGAGAGGAGAGGACAGGAGAGGAGGAGGAGGAGGAGGAGGAGGAGGAGGAGGAGGAGGAGGAGGAGGAGGAGGAGGAGGAGGAGGAGGACGAGGACGAGGAGGAACGCGGGGATTTTTTTCCAAAATGAGGACCCAACACCACATGATGGTTTGGGAAAAAACAAGCAATGATGACGACAACGACGAAGACGACGACGACGACGACGACGGCGGCGGCATCATTAACACAATCGTCGTCGTCGTCATCGTCGTCGTCCGCATAATAATCATTACCGTCGTCATCAGCACCATCAGCATCATGATTTCCATCGTGGTCGTCGTCGTCATCATCATCATCACCATTCTCATGGCGGGTGCTTCGATACGATGGTTCCACGGTTCAAAACGGCCAAGTGCTTTGACGTGTTACATTTCCTGGAGAAAACGCCTCAGGGTGAGGAGAACTCGGGGAAATATGAAACGGCGTAGAAGCCAGGGCGGTTGTGAGGCAAGCGGCTGCACCAAACATCGCTCCGATATGACTAGAAACTGGCTGCTTAGACAGAGGCCTCCTAAATGAAATCGGACTAGACGGGGTCGGAAGATCGCGCCGCAACGCTGAAACATCGGCGATGCATCGGCGATGCACTGGCGATGCGGCGCGATCCTCCGACCCCATCTACTCGATCTACTCCGACCCCATCTAGCAGGCCTAGATCGGAGGGGGACCCGAGGAAGCGAAAAGGCAAGCAGCACAAGCGGAAATCACCAAAAACGAAACCAGAGGGCAAATAAAACAGGGCGAGAGAGCAACTACAGCACAGACATCATCACAAACTTGCGCGTGCAAAGGAAGCGGCAATCATACCCTAGAAACCGAACTTCCTGCGTAACCTCCCGCCCACCGATGAAGGGCTCTTCCACTGCAGAAATTGCCAGCACGCCTTGAATTTCGTCGATGTCCTCGGTGGACAGAACGGCCGCGGAAACACTGCCCGTATACTTCCCCTGAGGCTACGCATGGACACCAACCTATTAACAATAAGTACATAGTGCGGCTGAAATTCATAGAACTGTTGGTTCCCAGAAGAAAACGGAAACTACTCATGCAGATTCCATGCGACCTGGCTTCGGACTAAGTCTTGTGTGCGCGTTCCAACGCCACTCAGAATGACCTCCTTCAGAATCAAGAAGCCATTCGAGGGCGGCTGCTACGCGTGCGAGAATGTCGCGATGGTGATGATGAAAACTATGGGTCTTGCGTCGGCTGATAGCTTGCTCCAGCTCCAGACAGATCTGTCCCGAGCCCTGCACGCAACAACAACGCGAAGTCCCAAACAAAGACCCTGCGAAGCACTGCCACCCAGTCCTCCGCCCCGGCGACGGCAAACTGTAGAGTGGGACGAACCGCCGGCGCCAAGGAAGCCCAAACGCACTGCTCATACAAGCGAACCGAGCCACCAATTTGAAGATCATCGACTCGCTCGATCTGGTCCCCACTACAATGAATTTCGTGTTGAACCAGTGGTGATGCACAGTGAACCAGTGGCGAACACTGCCCTTTTACCGAATGAGACATGAAGGCACGCGTGCTCCATCCCAGACTGCTTCCTGTTTCTGAAATGCGTTTGGCGTTTACGATGGTGCAGGCCTGGCCGGTGGCAACACCTGCGTAGCTCTCACCTCGCTGCGAACTGCCCTTAAGGCGCACGCGCCTCTGGGGGGCATCCCAACTCATGGTGTGGGCGCTGTCCCCCAGGGGGTGGGCATGTGCAGATAGGCTCACTTGTGCGATCATCCCTCTCTCAGGTTATCCGCCGCTTTTGCTGTGCCCTCTGGGCCATGTGACAGCAGTCGATAGTCTCGGTGGGAAGCTACATTGGCAAAGTTGCATGCGTGGGGAGCTCCCCGACCTGCGTCGGTGGCAACACCCACCAAAGGTCAACGCGCCGATCTCCAACGCTTCCTGAGCGGAAGAGATATTCCGATTGCCCCCCCATTGTCACGGTTCTTTTGCTCGTTCTCTACTCATCCGTTATCCTTTTGCCTTCTCCAGACATCTAACGTTTCTCTGCTCCCCATCCACGTAGCCATCCCTCATTTGCCTCTTTCTTTCCTTCGCTCCTGCCTTGTGCGGCACGCCGCGCGTGCCGAACAGGCCATGGCTCGACGCTGTGACGCATCTGAGCGAGTGCGCATTGCTTGCGGAAAGAATGTATGTGATAGTGTTGCGGAACTCCAACGCCCTGACAAAGTTGCATGATGTACGGGCCCAGACTGGCCAGCTGGCTACCCGATTTCGGTTTACGATTTCGCCCTCACAGGCGGCGGACCTCATGCAGGACGCATGCGTCACCTCTCCCAGGCTCGAAAGGAGACTCGAGCATCAGGGATGCTTCAAAGGCACGGGTTGCGGACTTCCTTGCCCGCTTGTACCGCATGCAAGTCGCGCGGTGCAAACCGCACCAGGCAAGCAGGGGCCGATTTCTGTACGCGCAGACGATTCCATGACTTTGAGCAGGTGCCTTACTAGGGCGCTGCGGACCCATGACCTCGCACTCTGCCATCATCTACGCTCCTAGTCGTCAAGAGTAGCCCCTAGGCCGGCGGGGGCCATGGGCATCCTCATGATTTGTTGATTGGCGGGTGAAGGTCGTGTCTGTCTCGGTCAGGTTACTCTTCTCACTCCTCTTCTCACTACAGGTGCAGGGCACGGATGTCTACCATCGGGGGGGGGTCCTCCTTCCCCTCCCCTTTTTCCTCCCCCGTCCGGTCCCGCAGCCTCCGGGGGTCGTGGGAGCCTCCTCCCCGCATCCCGTGGAGTCGGGTCTGGCCCCTCCTTCCTTTCTCCTTTTCTTGCCCTGTCTGGTCAGAAACCTCTAGCAGGGGTGTCCAAGCCATGCAAACTGGCACCTCTTGATAAGAGCATGAGCACGGTACGCTGGTGGTGGCCAGTGTTCGACCAGCGTGAAGGCTCGCATCCCTCGGGGTGCATGCCTGTTGATCGCGAAGTCTACTCATCCTTCCCCTCCCCCCTCCTCCTTTCTCCTCCCTCTCGGTGTCGTCCCGCGTCGGGGGGGTGGCGGCGCTTTCGGTGCTCCCGCTCCCGCGCAGGGCAGCTGAGCCCTGAGGACTCCAGTCGTCGAGCTCACTGCGTTTACGCTGTACCCGCTAATCGGCCCGTGCCTGTGGTAAATGTCAGCTCTCTATTGGAATGCGCCCCTCGGGCCGAATGAGAAGAGTTCCGCCTCCCCACAGGTGCACGTCGACATGTTCCTTGTCTCATTCATTGGCACAGTCTTGCCATATGTCTCGGTCGTTGTCGTCAGGTGCACATCCTGTTCTTCTCCTACATAAGCTGGAGCCTCCGACAATCCTCCTTCTCACATGTGTACATCGTGACGCTTCTCTACGATCGCCTGTATATGGATGCTCCCTGTGATGTTGCTGCTTTCGCCCCTGCCCTCCGCCTTTGGGCGCACTCTGGGCAATTGAGCCTTCAGGGCACCTGTTATCGAGCTCCCATCTTCTGCCTACTTCCGCCACGAATGTCCGTGTGTCGCAAGGGGGGGTGTACGATGGTGCAGACCAGGCCGGTGGCAACACCTGCATAGCTCTACCTCTCACCTCACTGTGCGCTGTCCTTAAGGCGCACGCGTCTCTGGGGGGCATCCCGACTCATAGTGCGGGCGCTGTCCCCCAGAAGGTGGGCATATGCAGATAGGCTCACTGGTACGATCATCCCAATCTCATTTCGGAAATGCTCCCACTTTCCCGCGAGAGATGGCGTTTTGTCTGGAACAATGTGATTAAACTGTCTGGCAGTGCTCGCGACATCGGTGTGCGGGATCGGCGCTCGCATCGACATGATGAGCTTTATCGCACAAACTCGTAGTATAAATCCAACGTGATACGATCGTGTCTTTAAAAAACAAACACAGGGATGATTTCAGTGGTATGAGGCTTTCAAGAGCTTCTCAGTCTCAACGGGAATTAATACGTCCAGTTCCGCACGCGGTCGACACAGGGAAAGTCTCACCTGATGTCGGAGTCGGGATAATTCGGTATTAGGGCCTTCCTCCAACTGATTTCCAAAGCAATCAGTCCTGTAGCAAAATACGTATCTCACATAATTCCGCATTCAAGCGGCATCATGTGACGTGTTGGGACGAATTATACAAACATCGATGCGGCGAAGAAGCACTGACGAGTGGCTTGAGCCAACGTGGTGACGACGCGACGACAACGACGACGACGACCACCACCACCACGACCACGACGACAACAACACGACCACGACCACGACCACGAACACGACGACGATGACGCCGGCGACGACAATGGCAACGACAATGACAACGATCATGTTTAGACTGTTCGCTCTTACTGGCACGCGTGTCTTGCATTCGATACCCCAACCCTCATACCCGCCCACTTCGTCTTCGATTGCACCCCTTTTCGGGGGGAATATCTTCCTCGTCGGCCACCGACTGAAGTGCGAAGAACTCTCGAGCGAGAGCGCCGTTCCTGAATTCGGGGGCCTCTCTGGCCAGGTGTCTTGGGGTAAATTGTGCGAGCGGGAGCCGTTGTCGTTGTAGCTGGGCCTCCGAGGGCCCACATTTACACTCAAGCCAACGCTCGCGCGGGAGACTCGCTTTCAGAGAAAATGTAGCCCGCGTCGAGGCGAGAGCGCGCGGAACCGCCTCCAGAGATGAACAACACATATTCTCTAGAAATGGATATTCAACAACGACGGCGACAACGTCGACGAAGGAGAAAGAGAGAGAGAGAGAAGAGAAGAGAGAGTTAGGAGAGAGAGAGAGAGAGAAAGAGGAACAAACAAACAAGAAGAGAGAGTGAGAGAAAGAGAGAGAGAGAGAGAGCGAGAGAACGCACGAGAGAGAAAGAGAGAGAGAGAGAGACGAGGTGTCAGCGGGAAACGGGAGGCGAGATGCGAAGGCGGGCATCGCCAACCACGGAGGCGGCGCACCCGCCCAGCCAGATGAGCGACAGCGGCCCTGCAGCCCGCATCGCCTCGACTAGGGCTCGATCTCGAGCAGCAGGGTCGCTGAGGAGGAGGAAGAGGAGGCGGAGGAGGACGGGGAGGAGGCGGGTGAGGAGGAGGAGTAGGACGGAGAGGAGGCGGGTAAGGACGAGGAGGCGGAGAGGGGGAGGACGCGGGTGAGGACGAGGAGGACGAGGAGGACAAGGGAGGAGGGAGGCGCAGGCGGAGATGGGGGAGGAGAGGGGGGGAGGAGACGGGGGGAGGCAGAGAAGGGGAGGGAGGCAGAGAAGGGGAGGGAGGGGGAGGAAGGAGGCAGAGAAGGGGGAGGCACAGGGGGGGACGGCGGGAGGAGGCACGCGAGGGGAGGGGGGAGGAGGCGCCGCGCCGCGCCGCGGCGGTCTCGAGCCCGCGGGCGCGCCGGAGCGCGGGGGGCTGCCCGCCACCCGCCAGCGGCGAAGGGCGCGAGGGGCGGGGCGGGCGGTGGCCTCGGAGAGAGCCCCCCCCCCAGAGGGAGGCCCCCCTCTCTAGGCCGCCCCTCTCCAGGGAGCGCTCCTCCTCCTCCTCCTCCTCCTCCTCCTCCTCCTCCGCCTCCTCCTCCTTCCTCCTCCTCCTCCTCCTCCTTCCTCCTCCTCATCCTCCTCCTCCTCCTCTTCATCATCCTCATTCTATCATCATCATCATGCTCATCCTCATCCTCACCCTCCTCCTCCTCCTGCTCCTCCTCCTCCTCCTCTTCTCTCCTCCTCCTCCTCCTCCTCCTCCTCCTCCTCCTCCTCCTCCTCCTCCTCCTCCTCCTCCTCCTACCTGGTCCTCCTCCTCCCCCTCCCCCTCCTCCCCCCCCTCTTCCCCCTCCCCCTCCTCCTCCTCCTCCTCCTCCTCCTCCACCACCACCACCACCACCACCACCACCACAACTCCTCCTCCTCCTCCTCCTCCTCCTCCTCCTCCTCCTCCTCCTCCTCCTCCTCCTCATCATCATCATCATCATCATCATCATCATCATCATCATCATCATCATCATCATCATCATCATCATCATCATCATCATCATCATCATCATCAGCATCATCATTATCATTATCAGCAGATTCATCATCATTATGATCATCAGCATCATCAGCATCATCGTCATCATCATCATCATCATCAGCAGCAGCATCATCAGCATCAGCATCAGCATCAGCATCATCATCATCATCCCCACCACCACCACCACCACCACCATCATCATCATCATCATCATCATCAGCATCATCATCATCAGCATCAGCATCATCATCATCATCATCATCATCATCATCATCATCAGCATCATCATCATCAGCATCATCATCATCGTCATCATCATCATAATCGCCATCGTCATCATCATCATCATCCTCATCCTCATCCTCCTCCTCATCATCATCCTCATCATCATCATCATCACAATCATCATCATCAGCATCATCATTATCATTATCAGCAGATTCATCATCATTATGATCATCAGCATCATCATCAGCATCATCAGCATCATCGTCATCATCATCATCGTCATGATCATCATCATCATTGGCATCATCATCATCAGCATCATCAGCATCATCATCATCAGCAGCATCATCATCATCAGCAGCAGCAACTGCATCATCAGCAGCAGCATCAGCATCAGCATCATCATCATCATCATCACCATCAACATCATCATCATCATCATCATCATCATCATCATCATCATCATCATCATCATCATCATCATCATCATCATCCCCGTCCCCCTCCTCCCCGTCTCCCTCCTCCTCCTCGTCCGCATCGTCCTCTTCCTCCACCTCCTTCTCGTCTTCCTCCTCCTCCTCCTTGTCCTCCTCCTCCTCCTCCTCCAGCTCATCCTCCTGCTCATCCAGGCACCTATGCCATTGGGTCACCAGGAAAACGGGCGGGCCTCAGCCCGATCGCCACCCTGCGCGTGCCCCTCCGAGGGTGGTGGGTTGTGGGCAACTCAGATGTTCGGCACGGGCGGGCAAGGGAAAGACTTCTACACCACGCGAAATGGTTAAGAAATCACGGGTTGAGAAATTAATGGTCTCAGAACTTGAATAAAAACCCAAAAATTAGATCAAAATCTTAGGATTTACATTGAAACGTTAAGAATAATCGAGACTCTGGACGAAAACTTAGGTTTTCTTAAGCATCGCCTAAGGTGTATTCCTCGTCGCCCGTTTGGCCCCCCCCCACCCCCACCCCCGCCCACGGCCCGGGTCCCCCGCCCGGGCGAGCGTGGGAGAGGGCCGGTCTCGCGTGAGAGCGGTGCCCCACGGAGGCGAATTTTGGGGAAACCCGAAAGTACCCTCCGAAAAACCAGGAAATCGACATTCATTGAAGCGCAAGAGGCCGACCATGAAATTTTCCCTCACCAGTCGCGCAGGGCTCCAGGGCCCACAAGAGGGCTTGATTCCACAAGGCCATGGAGACTGTGCTCCCTGCCGCCTCTTCACGCACACCAAAACAACACGCTTACACTACAGTCGGGGCGTTGGCCTAAGGAACCCTAAATAAGGAACGAGGCCCCTCTTTTCCATAAGTTAAACCCCGATGTCCCATGGAAAACCAAAAAGGAAAACCTGAGGCAAGCTGTGAGACACTTCAGGAACGCGGAGCCCCTCCCCAACCGAGAGGGTTCCTTCTTCAGGGCCCCGACTGTACTCCCTGGACCTCTCCTGGGGCGCGTCCTGACCAGGAGTTCGAAGCGAATCCAGCGGTGACGACGAAAGGGCAAAACGAGGCGAAGGGCAGCAGTATGGGTACCCCTTCCTCGTCCGATGATTGGGAGGGCACGCCGAAGAGCGTGTCGTAATCTGAGGGCAGTGCACCCGCCGCCTCGGAAGTGTCAGAGCGCGCGGGACGCGCCGAGGTGCGTGCTCCCTGCTGCTGCCCACAGAGCCACGGTAGCCTGGGATCGTGGGCAGGACTCCTCGGTAAGACTTGCGCGTGCTTCTCCTGTAAGGGTGCGAAGGCAGATGGATGCTGCTTTGAGCTCCCCCCCTTCTGGTCCCCACAGGATTTGTGGAGTGGTGCTGCTGACCTCATCCTGAAGGCGTGCCGCCTCGCGGCGGTGGGAGTGTCCTTGCCGATGCTCCGATACGGGGGTGTTGATGGCACGCCACTTAGTTCAAAGCTTCGAGGTGGGTTGAACCAGTTTGTATCGGCGGTGGACAAACCTCCCTTTAGCAAACCTCTCTTTAATGAAAACGGCCTGGGACCGAACCGACGGACCTGAACCCGCAAAAATGACGGCCGCGACGCCTTCTCGCGAACCGAAAACGGCAAATTCCTTAATCGACGTGTCAGGGTAGAAGGTCTGTCCACCCTCGATTGTAATAGGAGAGAACGGGCTGCTCGATGGCGGTGTTGGTGTCAACTTTCACCGAATGCTAGGGTACAAGCGTCTGTGCCGCGCGGGCGCCTTCATATGGAGTCCTTCTGATTGAATCCTCCTGCTCTTCCGCCTCCTCTCCCTCCTCCGATTTTCTCCGAGATACGCAATCCGACTTTTGTGATTGCGCTTTGGCAGTGACACCCGCCGGCGAATATAGAACAGAACCGCGCCGTAGGAAGGGATAGGTAGGAGGGATAGGAGGTCAGATATTGCGCACGAGCGCGCCTTGCTAGCCGAACCCCCCTCCCTCCTCCCTCCTCCTCCTCCTCCCCCTCAGCCTCCGTCCTCTTCCTCTTCCTCCTGCTCCTTACACCCCCCCTCCTTCGGGCGTTGGCAGAACTGGGTTTAGTGGGACCTGGTTTAGGGATTTGTACTGGGGGACGCCCGCCCGCCCCGTTCCACTATGAAGAGGAACTGGGACACACAAATAAATACACACAAATAAAAATATGCCCCATATTTTCACATATTTTCTGGGTTTTTGTCTTCCCCCCCACTTCCCATAATTTCCCATATTTTCTGAAAATCGCCGATTAATTGTGTCTGTGTGTTTTTTCCCCTCCTGACACTAACCGGAACTGCCGTCACCCGAAAAAACACCAACTACGGCAGACCTGGTTTAGTGATTCTGGCCAATTTAGGGGCTGCGGGGCCCTGCACCCTGCGAAATGCTTAAGAAATCATGGGTTCAGAAATTCTTAGTCTCAGAACTTCAATAAAAACCCAATATGTCCTTCAAAATCTTAGGATTTACAGTGAAAAGTTAAGAATAATCGAGACTCTGGCCGAAAACTTAAGTTTTCTTAAGCATCGCCTAAGGTGTACTACTAGCCGGGTCCCCTTACCTGGGGTCCTCATTCCCTTTCATCCTCCTCCTCTCTCCTTTCTTCGGCATGCCGTCGGGCCCTCCCTCGGTGCCCGTAGCGGCAGCACGCACGCCATGCAACAACCGACCCACGTCGAAAACCAAGAGGCCGACCAGCAAAGCATGGGCCGAGCAGCTCCAGGCAGTGCGGACAAACCGACCTGGATAAGGGAGAGGAATAACCAGGCGACTTCGCACGGGCATCATGACGAGGAGGAGCCAGGCATTCAGGCCGGTCTATCAGAAGAGGTAGAGGCGCTCCCGCAGATGATAGGTCGATCCTCGTCCCCCTCACCACCATCATCATCAGCAGCATCAGCACCACCAGTATCACCATCACCATCACGAGCAGAAGCGAGATCATCATCGCCACCACCACCAACAACACCACTAATGTAATGATGGTGATGACCAGCATCGTCATCATCACTATCATCACCCATCAGCATCATCATCAACAGCAGCATCATCATCAACATCAGCATCATCATCGTCAGCATCATGAGCACCATCACCAGCACCAGCACCAAACCATCACAATCACCATCACGAGCAGCAGCGTCATCATCACCACCACCACCAACGTCATCATCATCACCACAACCATCACAAATCGATCATCAACATCACTTTTTTTTTTCTCATCGCATCGCCTCGACAGCGCCACAGGCTGTCTGAACTATCACGGGGCGTCGTCACGCCTCGTGGCGCGCGGCTGGACGCCGCAAAGGGACTAAACATAG